CAGCACGCACTAACAGACTAGACTTCATCTACACACATACACCACGTCTCTGACACATTCCTGAAGATCAGTTGGTGATAATGCACAACGCGCTTCCATCACTTTGCACTGATTATATCTTTCTTTTGTCAGTGCACTGTAAAAATCACTTTTCCAGTCAATTTAATGTTTTTTTTTTCTACAGTTTTACTACAGTTTTTGGAGTGTGTTACAATTAATGTTACCATTTAACTAACAAATAACTAGCTAATCAACAAAGTCAATATTTATTCACATTTTTTGCAGGGCAACTGTTAATTCCGGCCCCTGGATACGAGCATTCATATAACGGTGACTGTGACCTACTAATTATCTACACTTTGATGTTGCAAACTCAAAGGCACAGTGAACGTCTGAAGTGAATGTATGAAGTGAGAACTGTACACAGATAGAGGTAGCCTGGGTTTGCGGTATATCAAACCAACGGGGAGGCCCCCAGGCTTGAGTTTCTTGTGAATTTGCACTTGTGTCCTCTCTGTAAACCATGTGTGTACATGACATGTGAATTACAGCTGGGTGCTGGAAAGCACTCAGAGAAAATGAGAGATGTCAAGGCTACGGGCTACATGAAAAAGGAGGTGAAGAGCCAAAGCTGGCTCAAACAGGAACTTGAGCTTCCTTTAACTTTTACTGCAAAGCAGTGAGTCATAACCCTCCACCAACACAAACACATCACTCTAGTCATTCTCTGCCGCTCTCAACTTCAGTACTTTACAAATGAGCGATCTTATGAATACCTTGAAGTTTCTGGATTTAAAAATCTATCATAATACAGCATAATTGTTTCAGATTACAAGCTATGAAAAATCTGCTTGTTTCTGTATGAACAAAAAGTCAAGCATATCTGGAGCATCTAAAAGTAACTGAACTGTTGCTGAATGATTACATCAGAAGAAAAGAGCAGAATATTTTGAAAAACTGATTTAAGCAGAGTCTAAAATTAACTTTTTGTCTCACCAGACAATGGTGGACTTTTTCATAAATATTGATCCGTCACCCTCGACATGGCGGATTGGTTGCTCTCCTGACGTGCCTTCCAGCTGGGCTGATTTACAAGCTGCTGACAGACTTCCTATGTAGAGCAGGAACATTCCTCACTGTTGCGTTGAGAGATCCGTTTCACCCCACAGTGTGGCCATTGGCCAATTTCATACTTTTGCCAAGCTGCTACTCAGGTAACAGCCATGTGTCAACTTTATTTTGACATGCAATTGCGTCAAACAACTTTATCTCTAAATTAAATAAATAAATAAAAAATCAACAAACAGGGTCAGAAACCTGAATATGGTGAAAGACCTCACACTAAAATGTAATTAAATGTGGGTACTATCACTCAGTAAGGCTTGTTGAGTGCATAAACTTGTTTTAGTCACAGAACTGATTAAATAACTGTTGTATGACTAAAAATATTAATAACAATCAATTATATATAATTATTATATAAAGCAACATAAAAACTATTTGTTAGTGTGAAAAAAAATTACGCAAACTATGGAATTCTTATAAACACTAGATAAAGATTTTAGAGGGAAAAACAAAGCATTGTTAAAATTCCTGTAGTTAATGTTTTATGCACTTTGTGCCAAATCTGCTCAGTAACAGACTTTAAAAACACTTGAATTGAGACACACCTTGCAATTATCTTGTTGCAACATCTCACTCTGAACAATGGCACACTATCTCTGCTCCTGTATGCAGGCACAAACGTAATTTGGGAAGATGACTTTTTTTCAGGAAAATGTTTAAATAATAGCAGGCTTTCTGAATGGGGCCATGCAAGTGAGAAATATGTCCTAATAGACAAACACATCAGCTGTCAATCTTTCGACTAACCTGCTCTCGATTAAATATCAGCATGACACATACCGAGGGAAGAACTTGATTTTGATCTAAGCAAGGGGACTGTGTTGTGACTGACAGGATATTGTTGTAATACTGTCAAAAAACAATTGTGATGCTGTGTATAATTAACATATGCTCAATAAAAGCATCTCAGACAAGGTATTTAGCGTTTCTTGGTACAGACACAACTGTGTGCTCTAAAGAGGGAGATTTTAGACTAAATAATTATCCTATTGCACTGGCAGTGGGGTGCTAAACAAAGCCTGGTTAAAAAGTCTGTCAGATCAGACTTAATAAGAGCACACACACATACACACAAACAGATGCAAACACACCGTGGACAGATAATTCCCATAATCACAGATTAATACTGCTGGATAATCCCGCTGAACAGAGAGGTCAGCACTCACAAACCAACATGCACTGACAGTCAGACTAGACTTCATCTACACACATACACCACGTCTCTGACACATTCCTGAAGATCAGTTGGTGATAATGCACAACGCGCTTCCATCACTTTGCACTGATTATATCTTTCTTTTGTCAGTGCACTGTAAAAATCACTTTTCCAGTCAGTATGCTTGATTTATTTTCCAATAAACATCTTAAAAAAAAAAACATTAAAAAAAATTATTTTACTAAAACTGAATAAGCTGTTTTTCTATAATAATAATAATAATAATAATAATATTATACACAAGTAAAAAATATATATTTAATTGTATATTATTATTATTAGTCTTACATATAGAATTACTAATGCTTTTTACATTTTCACTTTTTTTTCCTGTCAGAGTTTTTTAATATAAATTAACATATTATATAAATTTAAATCTAATTATAAATGTATTTATACTAATATATATAATATATAATATATAAATAATATAATTATTATTATATATTATTTATAGCAATAATAACAGTTTTGCAAATTTATCTTGTTTTATGGATGATATGGGTTTTTTTTACTGGAAAACAAGACAAATATATTGATTAATATTTGCTTTGCAGTGACGATAAATGTGTGCTCATCGACTTTGTCATTGGGGAAACTGTCAAAAATACACGCTTCAAGCATATAATGAGAGACAAGTGTGTTAAAATTTGCCTATATCACATTTAAAAAAACAAAGGAATCCAACTGACCATTTATAGCACTGTAACTGTTTAAATGTAACATTAACAAGAGCTCAAAGCATAAATATAAGTATTACTATATCTTATAAGACATCTTCTGGCATTTATCCATTACAGGTTCTTAACATTCTTTTACGAGAGGCAAATAAAAGTGTAATTCTGAGTGCAAGTGGATGACTTTTGGCCATCCTCACAGCCAAATGTCAGCTGCATTGTATATCACAGAGACAGCAAAACATGACGGATTCATCCTGCAGCCGGTGACTGCCTCTCTGCGGCCGCCTGATTGTGCATTGATCATGTAATGTGGGAGTGTCTCGCTTCTCTCGGGCTCTGAGAGCGCCAGACACACTGAACTGTGTGGTGTCGGGTGGCCGCCCCTCTGTCGCCATCCTGCCTGTCACTGGGTTTTCGCTGGAGCTGCACTTTCTCGACAAATCCCTGATCTGATGTGCATATCTCTTCTCTCTCTTTTTTCCTTTTGCTCTTTCTGTGTGTGTTTGCATGATGGATGTAGACAGATAAAGAGAGAAAGAGTGTGTGGAATCAAGGAGGACAGAAAGCGAGAGGGACGGAGGATGGGTGTGTGAGACTGAGCCCTGCCACTGTTGTCTTCATGTCTGGGGCGGCAGACGCCCTTATGATAGAGGTAAGATGAATGCCCCCATGATGCACTGAGAGAGAGGAAGCCTGAGTCATATCTGCTTCCAGCCATTTCTTTATCACCCGCTGCTCTGAATGCAACCACTTGTATAAACTATCAAACAACAAGCCACATGAGTGTTATTAACAGCATACTGCCACTATCACAGCTGTTCACTGCAAAAATACATTTATTAATCAGTATTTTTGTCTTGTTTTCAAGTATAAAATTCCAAACATCCTTAAAGCAATTTTAATTACTGGGAGTAAGAAGTAAAAGTAAAAAATTGAAAAAAGTAAAATAAATAAAGTAAATAAGTTTTAAATGTTACTGTTAACTGAAACTATTAATAATCATTTTTTGCTAACTGAAATAAAAGTGAAATAAAATTAAATCTACATATTAAATGAAAACCTTAAAATTAAAAAAAAAGAGAGAAATGTTGTCTTGGTGACTATCTGGAAAAAAAAACAAGTTGTTAATAAGTATAAATAACTAAAACTGAAATAGAAATCAAAACAAATGAAAGCTAAACACAAACAAACCCAAACACTAATACAAAAGACAGATAGCAAAAATACTAAAAATAAAATTGAAATGAAAATAAAAGCTATTTCAATAAATATTGTAACATTATATAAATAAAACTAAAATACCACTGCTTTCCAGTATTAATAAGACAAAACTATTCATTAAGAAAATAATTTTTGCAGTGATCTAAAAAGTTTTAAGTTCAAAGTTCAAGTTTCAAGGTGTCCCACAGTAACCATGGTTCAAATGGACAGTTTATCTTCATTCTCCACAGCGAGCCGTGTCAGGCCTTTCTCAAATGAAGTACACTCACACACCTCAACCCCGCGTTTGCAGGCCATCTATCTCTGTTTGGCTGATGCCTGTCCTCAATTCACTTTGACAAATGTACAAGAACAGGACACTCAGCCTTGGCTGAGAAGGTCAGGATTTCAAACAGAGCTAATTAGAAAGCAATGCTGCTCTGCTGATGAATGGTTGTTGGAAAGTGAACTCTGGCAACTTATCAATGAATTATTCCGGGGTGGTTCTGGCATGAAGAGAGCTCCACGTGTAAAATCGGCAACCTCTGGAAGTTAAATCGCCTCATGATGTCTTAAGGAGATGAGTGAGTGTTGGACAAAAGAAAGTGAAAGGATGCTAATGCATGGCCGTGCGCTGTGATTGCATAATGCCGCAATTAAAAGACTTCCTGTCACATCGCTAAATGAGAAATGTGGATTCATTACAGGCAGAGTGTCTCTGAGTTTTATAAGCAATGATGAGTGAGAAGAAACATTGCAATGAGAGAAGCGGTTCTCACCTGCTGACTTAGGGGTGAACTTGTCGCGGTTTGCCGCGCACACGGCCAGGAGCCGATAGCCGAGGTCCAAGTCGAAACCCTGCTGCGCTGCCACGCGACTGACAACCTGTGGAAAGAGACCATATGAGTCTTAAAACGGGTCTTTGTGTACTCATGCCGTTCATCTGCCTGTGTGTGTCCATTATTTGCATTCACAAAGAGAGGTGCAAACAGAGTTCTCCGCTAAAAGACTGTAGAAAAATCAAGCAGAAATGTTCTGAACACACTCTTTAGCATTAAGGCTATTGAATCTTTCAATAGTCTACATGAGCTATGTGCAATTAAGCGTCCTTGAAATTCTACCCCAGACTCCCATGAGAGAGGCGAAAACCAGCGGTATACTCGCATCACCCGGCTACCACCCCCCTCTTCCTTGTACACCAAATATCTCTCCAAAAACTACTCATAAAAGAGCAATTTCCCTTTTTTAGTGCAATCATATCAAATATTTATATATGTGCATGAATAATGTATTCAAAGATAAAACAGCCACCTCCACTGATGCAGAATAGTGTTAAGACTGTGGATATTTGCAGGGCACGACTGATGAGCTTTCCCTAGAGATCTGTGTGACTGGTGCACAGACGTCTGTGTTTGTTCTCTGAATACCCTGATCCGCAGAGACCACAGCCCGCACTTGGCCCCTTGAACTCACAACTCCAGCTTCTTTCAAAGCATCTTGTGGTCTTTCACTGAACAATTCAAAAGCGTGCAAATACAACCCTAAAGCCACATGTAAGACAGAGAGGGTAGGTGACAATGTTACCACACAGAATACATAACTGTGGCTTTACCTGTGGAATCTCTTAAAGGGACTGATCACCCAAAAATGTCATTTACTCAACCTCATATTGTTCCAAACCTGCATGACTGACTTCTATCAGAACACAAAAAGAAAAGTTAGCTAGAATGTCCAGGCTGCTCTATTCCATACACTGAAAGTCAATGGTGACCAAGTTGCTATCAAACGTCAAAAATGACAAACCACCACCAAAAAGTGCCATAACAGTAATCCAGTCAAATAATGTAATAAATTGGTGTCAGAAACATAGCAAAACTTAAATTATTATCCAGTCCCTCTCTGAGATGCCCTATATGAATTATGGCCAAAAAAAAAAAGTAAAAAAGAAACAAGCTATTTAACTATTTTTCAAAATTTTTTCCATTTGTGACATTTTTTTGTCTTTTTTTTTTTTTTGGAGCTTTACAGCCCCTGGTCCCTTTTCTCTTTCATTATATGAAAAATAGCAGCGTGAAAATTCTGCCAAACATCTTATTATATATATTCCACACAAAAAAAAGTAATATGGGATTAGAACTTCACAAAGGTGAGTAAAGAAAGACAGAAATAATTTTTAGGTAACCTATTCCATTAAAATGATACAACAACACTTAAATTCTTTAGACCACAGGCTGACAATGACAAAAAAAAAAAAGGTGTTTACAGTGTTTAAGGTGCTTTTCATTTTAAAGTTATGGGTTTAAATATTGCTCTGAATAAAATTCAATTTGAAAGAATTCATTTTGTTTCCCCTTTCACTCTCTATTATTCTATCAATCAAAAAAGACCAATATAAATATAACAACCAATATAAAACGAGAGGCATTCGACCTTTTGCAATATCTGCTGTAAAATCTGAACGAGGCTGCACATGATCTTTAATGACTCATGTATCACGCTGCTGCATCTGTGTGCTGCATTTATCCGCTTACTAACCTTCTCAATTCTTAACACCCAGCGCAATTTGTGTTCCACATGGGGTGCAAACATGACTCTTCTTAATCATAAATTGTCATACATCTGCTACCAAGGCGGTGCAACAAAAAAGACAAATCAAACCTGCGCTGACAGATTTCTGTTCACAATTTAATGGTCAAATAACAGCTTAACAGGATTCTAGAATGGCATCTATGAAACTGAAAATCTAGCCCAGTTTTTGTCCTCCAGTTTTTTTGAGATTTTTCGACAGGCAGCGCCGCTGTGCTCTTGCCAAACTTTAATTTCCCTACTGCAGCTGCACTTGCCAAACGCAGCAGCCAGGACTGAAGGCGCACACACAGTGACACGCAATATAATATGCAAGAAAAAAATGGATATTTATTTCTTTCCAGAGCGAGGCCCATAGCACTGCACATATGCAGGGTTGACAAGAAAAGACAGTGGAATAGCAGAGAAAGTTGTCATCGCTAAAGCTACTGACAGTTTGGAGATGTCATTTATCATTTGGCTGAGTGCTGATATTGTGCAGCTGGGAGACAATGGAAGAACAGCTCCATATGCAGGTCTGCAGAGAACAGAGAGCTACCTGCTGCCTGAGGGGAAATGTGTAAGACATGTCCACATCTGTCAGCCAACACTCTTATCTCCCCAGTTCTTTAATCTCTCCACCATCCTCACCGCTACATCCTCACCTGGGGAAGAGAACCTCTCCGCTGCTCTCTGAGGGACCCGCAATGCATCAGACAAATTAATTACAATATACAGAGCACAAACATACTGTGCATCCTTTTGGAGTGAACGCGTGTGGTGTGAAGACGGTGTCTGGGGACACACTGTCATGTACACACATGACACCAACTCCAGAGAGAGAGGCTGAACCAAACTCAGGCTGTCAGAGCCATGCAGCAGCACCAAGGTGGTCTTGGAATACCTGGAGAAAGCTGTACATTTACATTCCCATTTATCTCAAAGGCAGTGGCTTGGCTGGCACAGAGACCCCTTTGTGATGAAGTCAGGTTGTTTTGAGCTAATGCCATGTGACTAATCACAAAATTATATCATGAAAATGCTGACTGGTCCTAAACTTTTTACTAGTGACTATCCGCTATGTCTTAAAACTGCACGTACACTACCAGTTATTTTGAATAATTAAGATCTATCAATGTTTTTTAAGTCTCTTATGCACACAAAGGCTGCATTTTTATTTATTATTACTTTCTAATTTATTATTATTATTATCAATGCTGAAAACTGTTTTATTTTTGCAACATTAAGAATACTTGATTATTCCAGACCAGTAATGTACATTCATTCATTAAAAATTGAAAAAGAAAAAAAAGCTATAAAGGGATCCAATCAATAACTTAATAGAAGTTTAAGTATTGGTTTTAAAGGGTTATACATGATTGTTAGCAAAAAGTTGTCATTTAGTTCCAAAGGCTCTAACCATTAGCTCACGGTTAATTTAGAGTTATGTCCCAAATGAGGCCCTATACACTATGCACTCTACCATCTAGTATAAGTGTTATTTTGTCATCCAGCATTGAAATATAGCCCTTCCCCCTGCAGTACGTAAGGAAAGCTGCAACAGTTAAGTGCATGAAGAGTCCAACATTCCACACACACATTTTTTATTTATTTTTTGGTTAAGTAAGTGCATCATCCGGGTATTTAAAGTGCCCCTATTATGCCATTTCCAATATTGCCTTTCATGCAGTGTGTAATGTAGCTGTATGTGAATGAAAACGATCTGCAAAGTTGTAAAGCTGAAAGTGCATGATAAATAAAGTTATTGCCTCCCAAAATAAAGAATTGACTCTGAACAGCTGAAACGACTCGTTAATAATTAGAATCCCACTTCCGTGACAACTACACATCACGGGGTAAGACATTTGCATAATGCTCGCTTATGTTCTACGTTGGCCGGCCGCGAATAACTTGACCCCGCCCATAAACGCGTCATTCTACTGCTTCTCTAATCTCGGGGAGTTCAACGTGGGATTCACAAAACGCTTGCTGTTGAAAGATGGATCAGTATCCTGTTTATCTGGACCAGCTGGCTCCACTGAATCACAACCTAAGTATGATAAATAATAGATGTTTATATTTTCTATAGAGCGTTCAAAATACAGAACGATTGAAATAGGCGTATCATTTCCGAAACGCGCTGTACGTCATAGACCAATCAAAACAGACTAGGCCATCTGACCAATCAGAGCAGAGCAGGCTCATGGAAAGGAGGGGTTTAGAGAGACTGAATCTTTGAACTGCTTCGAACAAATCGTTTGAGAATCGCTGGAAAATGAGGTGATATTAAATGCATATTTTGAGAAAACAAAAGTGTTTTTTGACCTTGCATGCATGTAATCCTATTGTAGGAGACTCCCAAAACAATATTAGGAACCGTAAAAAGGGCATAATAGGGGCACTTTAAAGTGCACTTTTTTGGGGGGGGAACTTTCAGTGTAACCACCTATCTTACACTATTTATACTACAAAATGGCATAGACACCCTTTGCCACCTTAGGACAAAGTTTCACAAACTTTTTGACTTCAGGGCCCCCCCTTTGTCCAAAACAATATTCAGATTTCCTTGTATCTAAGCTTATATTTACCTCTTGTACTTTTGTTGTAATAAAAATAAATAAACTCAAAAATATGATGTCAGTTTACCGTTTAGTATTAGTTGAGAAGCACTGATCTAGGATACATAATGGAATCATGTATAAATCAATATCTGAGGAATTCAGATCACAGAGTGGGAATGGGGCTGAAATTCAAGTCCAGTGGAAATCAATGGGAAATCCACGCCCACGGAAAGCACCTGGACTGGAGACCTGAATCAGACTGAAGGTGCTAAACACTGGCAATATGCCATAATCAGTGACCGTCATGGAGAATGTGGGACATGGAACCTACTGTATGTTCAGCACCACTAGCATCAATAAACAGAATTAAATTCAGCTTACTAATGGTTTAATAATACCTGAATCTGCATGGTGAGATAGGAGAAGGTACTTTAATATCAAAAAATAAAACCCTTGAACACCAGTCTCTGGCAGAGGTTACAGGAGGGAAGAAAAGAAACAGAGATCAGTGGGTGGGCAGAGGGACACATGAAGCGTGACTGTTGCTTTAACCTTCGTCACTGGCCCCTGACATGAGGACAAGACTTGAGCAGCTGCTGTCTTACCGTCAAGCATCCCATAAGGCTTTGCTCGAATGGCCGCTGGAAGGCTCGTGGGTCTCCGCACCAGTCCAGCAGTTCTGTGGCCGCTGTCTGGAAATTGGCCGGATTCTGTAAGTGCTGTTTGAAGAGAAGAAATCACAAATATTACAAAATCTAGAGGGAAAATCTAGTCAACACTTAAGCATACTTAAAAACGTAATTTTTAGTAATAAAAAATAAACAAAAAATATTCAATCACACTGTTTTGAAAGCATAACCATAATAGTTCAACATGACATTTTATCGTGAGATAAATATCACATAAATATCAATCTCTTAAAGAGATGGAAAATGGAAATTCTGTCATCATGTACTCAACCTCACGTCATTCCAAACCTGTACAATGGAAGTCAATTTGACCAAAGTGGTCTTATGCTCCACAGAAGAAAATCATACAGGTTCGGAATAACACGAGTGTGAGTAAATGACCATTTTCATTTCGGAGTCAACTATCTTTCATTTTGTAATAAAAATATGAGCTTCACATTTATAAATATAACTTAATATATTTAATACATCATAAAATATAATCAACACAACAACAACTACTACTACTAACATAGCTATTACTTATGAATACATTCATATTAAAACTGCATTTAAAAACTCTGAAACGTCTCAGGTTACGTATGTAACCCTGGTTCCTCGAGGGAACG